CCCCCTCTGGTGGTCGAGGGAGCTTTGCAATATAAAAGTTAAACAGTAGTGGGGAAAGGACACCACCCTGTGGAACCCCCTGTTTTATTTTTCTAAGTTTGCTCGATTTGTCTCTAAACATTACCGACGAGTGTCGACCACTCAGATAATTTGCCGACCACCGTTTGAGCCTCTGTGGGAGAGAGGAAGCCTCTATATCTTCTAGTAGCGTGGAATGGCTGACAGTGTCAAAAGCCTTTTACAGGTCCAACGCTACCAGAATCGTTCTCTCACAGGGACGTTTACAGTTAAGGCCACGAGTTATCTGAGTGTTTATGGCGTTAAAAGCTGTTGTTGTACTGTGCACTTTACGGAAACCATGCTGATGCTTCGCTGGGGTCAAGTGGTTTGTGAAATACGGGAGTAGCAAGGCCTCGAGTGTCTTCGCTACCGGGGAAAGGAGTGTTATCGGACGATAAGAATCTCCTATGCTGGCGGGTTTCCCCGGTTTGAGCAGTAGGACCACTCTCCCCACCTTCCAGATGTCTGGGATGATGAGAGTGGCCATGGACAAATTGAGGACCTCCGTTAGGTACGCTACCCCCGCAGGACTCAAATTTTTCAGCATCAGCATGCATATTCCGTCGGGGCCCATGGCTTTGGAGGCTTTCGCCTTCCCGATGGCCACCTGAACTTCACCGCAAGTGAAAGCAAGTGGGGCACAAGTTGTTGGCAGTTTGTGCAGCCTTTTGGTCACTCGACGCTTGGCTTTGTCCACCGGAGGATGCAGTATGAACTGCCGGCTAAAATAGCTCTAAAAGCTATGAAATAGCTCGCCGAAAGAAATTTCGACTCGGTCGTCGTGCTTCGTCGGATTGGACAGTGACCGCACGATTGACCAAAGCTTGCTCACACCAGAGGTGAAGTTACAGGTCTTCAGATGCTCCTCCCACTTCTTCCGCTTATGTACGTTTACTAGTTGCCGAATCTCCGCGTTGAGATCCCTAATACGGGGATCTCCGGGATCTCCGGGATCGGCCTGACGAAGGCTGTCGCGCTCATCGGCTAGAACAGCCGCTTCGGCAGGGAAGTTTGGACGTGGGTCCGTTATACATCCTGCCGGTATGAAGCGAGCTGCAGCAGCAGTGACAGCCCTGCGGAACTTACGTTCACCGAGATGGACGTCGGTTGGTGTGGGAAGCGTAGTGAAGGTGTTTTCAGTAAACTCCGCGTAACCTTTCCAATCAGCTTTAGAGAAGTTGATATAGGTCCGGTGTTTAGCGGAGGCAAAGTCGGTTGGTTTATCTATCGAGATGACTATGGGTAGATGGTCTGATGCTAAGGTCAGCATAGGTCGCCATGGTATGCTGTTTATCACACCAGGGCTGACTATGGTGATGTCTGGCGAACTGCTGCAGTTACCCATAATCCTGGTGGGAGCGTCGTTGTTCATTGTGCAGAATGTCGAATCGTCTATCTGCTTAGCCCATTCTGTTCCCCTACGATCGTTTGACAGGCTTGAATGCCAAAGATCGTGATGCGCATTAAAGTCACCTACTACCATACGGTTTTCACCTCTGAGGAGCGCACCTATATCAGGGTGATATCCTGCCGGGCAGCAGGTGACAGGGGGTATGTATATATTAAATATTTCGAGCTCGACATCGCCTGACCGGATAGCGATGCCCTGACATTCTAGGGTGGTATCCCTGCGGTCGATGTCTGCTTCGATAAGACGATACTGCACGGTGTGGTGCGTGATGAACGCTAAGCCACCACCATTATCTCGCTCGCGATCTCGACGGTGCACGTTGTACCCGGCACAATTCAACAATGTTGAATTGCTGTGCAACTTCGTCTCTTGGACCGCAGCTATCAATATACCATGCCGACACATAAAGACGGTTATCTCCTCAATCTTGCTCTGTAGCCCGTTACAGTTAAATTAAAGGAGCTTCATGTGGCTCGGGAGACGTGTTGTGATGTGGGGTGTAAGGGATGTGTGTGTTCTTACTGCCGTTGGCTGTGTGCGCTGCTGTGATGGTTGCCGCCCTGTGGCGGTGGCGGGAGTCGTCGCAGTTGGGGTCTGCGACCGAGCAGCGCAACACGGGCCCTCAAAGTTCCTCGTCCAGTCTCGCGTGGTACGCAGACCTGAGCATGCCCTACAGTGGCACCAGCCAAGGCAGGTGTTGCTCTTGACTGATGTCACATTACGGAATATCCTGGTCTGACATACCGTGCAGATTGTAGGAGGAACCAGGAGTTGTTGGTGGCGGCGTGTGGGTGGTGGTGCGGCTGTGTGTGTTCTATAGTCTGGCGTGGCTGTGGTATGGTCTGTGGTGTTATTACGTTGTTGTGCTGTGGTGACTGTGTGAGGCTGCTCTGGTGGACTGAGGTTAGCCGTGGAGGTTGCTCTGTTTGAGCAGCAGGGGCCACATACGACGCATTGCATTTGACTGAGGTGGAGTTTTGGTGTAGTCGTCTCTGCCATACACAGCAGGTGTAGGTTTCTGGCCCTGGGTTTGACTCGATGCCAGCCCTGAGTAGGAGAAAACGTAGCGAATGTAGCCCTATGAATGAACAACTCCACTGGTTTTAAGTTTTTGAATATTTTGATCCAGTTTAAAAGTAGTGGTCTTCACACCGAGCTTGGTACTCGGTGTTCGGTAATTTTTCCAATGTATTTTGCTTGTATAAAATTATTATATTATCGGTTACCGAATTATCGTGAAAAGGAAGCTTGATAATTTTTCTAAAAGTTTGTAAACTGCAATCAGCTGTTCGATATTTATTAAATTTAAAATCCGCCCGCTGCCGAAAGGCATAACGCATATGAGTAAGTAAAATTCTTTAAATTTTCTCTTACAACTAATTTTTTTTAGGAGTGAATGTGAAGACTCTAAGGGCCGTTTTCTGAAGTAACCTTTAACTTTAAAGCTCACTTTATATTTAAAAATTGGATTAAAAATAAAGCGATGCCTACAGTTAAGCATTTTCATTATCGGTTTTGACGTATGTATGTTTCTTGGTTGTAAACCAATTTAAAACCGAGAACATTATAAATTCTAATGCATAAAGTGAGCTTTAAAGTTACAGGTTACTTGAGAAAACGGCCCTTAGGGCCAATTTCAAGTGAATGTTTAAACGGTGCTAAGTTTGATTGTGGATTGTTTAAATGCCATTTAGCTTTCGTTGAGTTTCAGATCAACTTTGTTTAAATATGCTAAACAATTGGCAGCACTGCTGCTTGTTCCTTGAGATTGTTGTTGCATTTGCTTGTTCGTTTATATTTTGTGCTGAACAGCTGATTGTTTTTTGGTGGGGTTTGGCGCGATTGATTAAACAACCTACCCATCTATCTTGGTTGTTTGGTACAAACACAGGGTTGCATATCTCATATTTAAAGAGACAATATTGGCCATTTAAGTGCAGATTAAATGTGTGATCTGAATATGCATTGTAAAAGATAATCAACAATCTTTACTTAAGTAGGCCATCTGTTGCACACATTAGCATTTATTAACTGATAAATAATTTTGACTGAACAAATTCCATCTCCTACTTTTCTGTCTCTTTTAAATCAGTGTCAGCAGTACAAATTAAGGATTTGGTTACAATTCTAAAACAAATTAAATATGACTTAAAGCACGGATGCAGAACAAAACTAGATGGTTTTTGCATGGTTTTGTTTTGGATTACGTTTTCCTGTAACACATTTTTTACATACATATGTGGAAAAACTAAAATAAAAATCGTCATTACGGCGGAAAAATCGTCAAAACGTCACTGAGCTCAAAAAACGTCAAAATTACGACGAAATCGTCAATTCGGTAACTAAAAGACTTCGGAATTTGTTTTCTTACGTTTTCAATTGTATACTTTTCAATGTAAAAAAAATCTCTGTCAACTGTTTATCTACCTTGCAAGTTTCTGCAAATTTTCTGTTCGCGTGGATATTTTTTTCTTGTGAGAGAACAGATGATATTCCGCCGGAATTTTGTTGTTGGACATTTTTTACTGGAGATTTTAAACGAACGTACCTATTGACTAACCCACATATAATAGAACTGTTACGAACGGCTTTAACTGACATAAAACCAGATTTTGAAAATTTGGCCAAAGGGATCTTTTTATTTTTCTTTGATATCTATATTACGTACATTAGAATAATAATAAAATTAATGTTTTTCATTTCTAATAATAACTTTATTTAAAAATAAGATTTTTGCTTTTGCTTTTTTTTTGGGACTCTTTGTAGCATTTAGAATTTATATGTGGCTCTTCTCGGCCTCGGCCTTGTCCGCCCCTTATATATAGGCATGCATCAAGAATGATAGAATATAAGATTGCGCCCATGAGAGAGGATTTTTGAGCGTAACTTTTGCGTGCCGTCCTTCTGGTTAAATTTCGAGGGAGAAATACCAAAACGCATAGGAAAATATGTAAACAATGCGAAAGAAGGTGTTAATATTAATATTAAATTGTCCAATTTTGCAGTAATTAATAAAATTGTTTGTTTATTTAAAAAGCAACACATAGCAATGATTTTGGGCATGTAGCCCTTTACTGCCCGTCTCCACAGGATAAAGTTTATATCTTGATACATATGTCAGAATATAATTTGCCAATGGAGACCGCTCATTGCTCTTCGAGAGCAATATATATCAGAGCTTATATCTTGCCATCTATTGCCGGCTATTTGGTAGTTTGACAGCTACATTTTCATTTGCACGAAAACTTCGTGGCTGCAACATCATTATTATTTTAATATAAAAGCAAAAATTGAGCTATTTCCTGTTAAAATATTTGTAATTATGTATTTGGATCTAAAATAGACTATTTTCTAAATTTTTTAAGCGGTTAAATCCGGCAAAAATAGGTTTTCGAAGCTATCTTACAAATGCTTATATCAAGATATAAAAAGCCCACACAAATATTGCCACTGATATAAATTATATCTAGTGACCAAAATGACAGCTGGGCAGCAATAAATTTTATCCTGTGGAGACGGTCAGTTAGGTAAGTACGATTTTCAGCATGTTGACGTTGATAAAATGCATGAAGTTATATGTATGTAGATATGTACATAAAAAAACTTACTTATATCACACACTTGCATTTTGTTTTCACTTTTACAAGTTGACACTGCAGACTTCATTTTGCATTGTAATGTGTAAGGCAGAAATATTAATGCACAAATAGTTAATTTGGAAATGTTTAGTTATTTGTCCACTGTTTTTGGGTTAGTGAGCGGAGGAGGAGGGGCGTGGGTCTTGATATCTAACCCACTAGAAAAGAAAGAAAGAAAGTTCACACTTTGTAAAAAGTCACACCTGATCCCTCGAAAGCTTCCACATACCCCTGGGGAACCATTGGAAAACGGTCTAAACTCAGCGTTTTGACACCAGAAATGTAAACTCGATAAACAGTGTTTTTGTGCAGAACACCTTTCTATTGTCAAAGTATTGTACATTTCCTGTGCACATAACTCCTGGTACGCCATCTACAGTATATTTGCGTACAACTAACTAAGAAATTCACAAAAAGTGCATTTTTCAGACTGAATTTATTAATAAATTAATAACCGAAAATTAGGTTTAAAATAAAGTCTAAACCCTTGACTACAAGTGTGTGTAAAATTTTTTGGATCGGGTCACCCTTTCGTACACAATAGCCCGAAATCACTGGGCAAATATTTAAACCGTACCCAGTTAAATCGTTATTTGTATTTCCTAAATCAACGATTGCACCAGGATGACGTCACGCACACAGCTGATTCTGTCAAATTTACAAAGAGCGTATTAGCGGTACTACGATGGGCGCAATCACTATTTCTCTCAATCGTGTGCATCCATGCTTATGTAGACACACACATAAATCCGTATATAAAATGATTTTAATGCGAAAAAATTATAAATATCACACTATTTAGTAGAGATAATTAATAGAGGCCTGAGCTTTATATTTCTTCGGAGTTAGTTTAATCAAATTCGGATTGAACGCCCCAAGAGCAGCTTCATTCGTGGAAGACGGTGGCGGCGGCGGCACAGTGTTTGAGCGAAAGCGAGATCGAAGAAAATTCTGTATTGAGCGAAGGCGTATAATTGGCGCACAGGGAGATTGTTTAAATGTGTTGTGATTGAGAATCCAATATATAATGGGACTAATAGCGGAGTGCATATAACCTGTAGATATAAGTAACAAATAAATCAAACTGGTATATATTTTTGTTTGTGGTATACATACATATATATGAATACATACATACATACATAGGGTTATAAATAAAAATACGATCTTCGCCAGTGTATTTTTCAGCTCAATAACATGTCCATAACTTTAAGACTTAAGATTAAATGAGCTGCTAAACACATTTCTGCACAGAAACGCTGACTTACATTGGTTTCAGTTCATTACACAACAATTTTTTCAACTGGTATTTTCTCTTAAAATTATAAGCCTGGAAAGAGCACCGGCAAAGTTATACAAATTTTATTTCATTACAAACAGGCAAAATGCTTTTCTACCTTTTAGCAGTTTGTACATAGTAAACAGTTTTTTTTTTTAATATTATCGTGAGTGTATTACTAGAGTTCACTCTTTGATGCGAAGAGCAAAAATAAGCGCTTTGTTTTGCATCAAAGCGTGAATAGTGCTGTTGCTTTGGCTGCGAAATTTCAAACAGTTCAGCCACAGCGCGGCCTCAAGTATTCCTTGCGTTTCGTTAGTGCTGTCGCTTTAACTGGCGAAGCGATGTACGAACAGCACATCACAGCAGTTTTTTCGCTCTTTGCGTTTCAGTCAGAGTTTCACCTGTGCGTTTGCGCAAAACTAAAAGTGCGAAACGTTGCCACATGTTTGTTGTAAAAAACTGTCGAGTATTTCACACTTTCGCGCAAACGCACACAGTTTTCCTTATGGCGTTTTCGTTTCTACAAAAAATGTTGCCTTTTCATTTCCCTCTCTTTAGCGTTTGTTCAAAAAGTGCAGTGAAAGGGCAAAATTTTTTGGTAGAAACGAAAATGTCATTAAAAAGTGAACTCAAGTACTGATTTTTGCCACACAAAATATGTTTATAGAGTAAAATATTCCAAAATGTGCTCAAACTTCTATGTAAAATACATGTGCATACATAGGGTAGAAGGGGGAGCATTCGCCAATGGGGCACATTCGTCACACATCGTTTTCCTCAAAGTTATTAGTGTTATCGATCTTTGAAAATCGATAATTTGTGCTTCAGTCGACCACATATCTTTGCAAGTGGTTGTAGACAGTCGCTTTTATCCACTTTTTTGCGTTGCTGAGAAAAGTTTTGTGGCTAAATATATTTCGTAATAATTTTGTTAATTGTCGTGTTCTAAAATAGTTTTTTATATGTCGAATACCGACAAAGTTGCTTTAAATGAAATCGATAGCTTTTTCTATTGCATTGTTTACGGCTCTTAAAAAATTGAGTATTATAAAAGGGGTTACACGTGGGGCAGATCCACCAGACTCCAATGGAATGTATTATTTACATACAGGTAAGTAATGACGCTGTTCGTGTTCATAAAATATGAACAAATACAAAAACTACTCACAAATAAACATACAAACTAGCTTAAATACAGAAAGTATATTAGCTCACATATTGACGCGAACATTTTTATTCGAACAATAAACGACATAGATACTTCAGCCAAGAAATAGCTGATGTTCTAGTAAAAGCGGCAGAAAACTCAACCCAGTAGTTCGTTTCTGTAACAATTCTCTACAAAGGCGAATTTATATAAGAATTCGCCGCCTTGTTCTCTATTGACAATGAGTAGTAGAGAATGACGTATATTCTCTACCAGTAGATAAATAATCGGTAGAGAAGAGTTACAGAAACGAGCTTTAGGATGCTTCTTTTAAACATCGTGTTTCATCCCGCCCTTACGAACACAATCCAAGCATTCTCACCCTAATATTTAAAAAGGGCAAATTGCGAAGAGTTTGGTAGAGACTTCGTTCTCATCGTGTTATACAGGAACTAAATCCATGTAAGAAAGAATTAGGTTACTTGATGCAAGCAGAAATAAATAATATAAAAAAAACTTTTTAATATACAACGCTTTTATAAATGGACTAAAAAGTAGAAAATAATACTTCTCAGTCCCATAGAA